AAGAGATTCTTAAGAATTATCTAAGAAAAAAATATAATTACAAGAAGACAAATGAATCTATGTACAGAAAGAAAGATAGATGTGATATGAAACAAACATAAAGATTATAATGTCTACAAAATCAAGAAGTTAATAGTGAGAAGATGTACTGTAAGAGTGTCTGAGACATGGCTGTAATGGTGGCAAACTGGCTATAGATGAGCAAGACTTGAGAGTTACATATATGTTTGGTATGATGACAGACAGAATCACAACAGAAGACACAGTTATAGAGAAAGATATTACAGATAAAGAATTATAAAGAGAACAAAGTATTTCTACAACACTCTGAAAATCAGAAGAAATAACATTGGTTAGATAATTAATAGAAGACATAAAATTAGTCTAAGCAGAAGTTAGTCTGAGAACAAGTAAGATAGTACAGAAGATCTACAAGATTAGTTTCTGTGCTGTTTTAAAGAGCTTTGATTTCACTTGTCAAACAAGTTGTAAGATAATCAAGTAAGACTCAGATATTTGTAACTTTATTTTCAATCTGTAAGAAAACAGTATAAACTGGGCTTAATAAATGAGAGAACTCAGACAGACTGTCTTTAGTAAATTCTATTTTGAACATAAGATCCATGGTCTTGGCTACATAATGTGAGACAGAATGATGATATTTTATGGAAAATTCTTTAACAGCAGAAGTGGCCTGGTGGTGGTGATGTTTAATAACTTCTGAGTTAATCTCATGAAATTCACACACAAGTATACTCATGCACTTGATATTGTACAGATGATGTAAATTAGCTTTGTCAAAACTATAATATTCTTCTTGAAGTTGCAAGAGCTGATGAACTAGTTTAATAATAGATTCTGAAACCTACAGTTATGTCAGAATAACCAAGAAGAATAAATAAAGATGAACTTACATTATAACAGATACAGATTTGATGTTCTAATAAATAAGAATAAGATTTCTTCTTGATATTCTATAGACAAGACTTGTCTTCATTCATGTGATTCATAAATATCAAGTAAATATAGATGAAGCACAGAAGAGTGTCTTCTTTATTATACATAATAGAGTCTTTCAACAACAATATTATAATAAGTTATAAAATAAATGAGAAATGATGTCTGAGTCTAAATAAAGCAGAAGAAAAAGAAGAAAGAAGAGAGTCAGAAACTCTCTATTTATATTCATACTGTAATATACTAAAGTTGCTAGTTCCATGACTTGTTAATAAACAATATAACAACAGACAACAGATAATATAGCAATCAGACAAGCAAATAAACAAAGAAATAAGTATGTAACAAAAAACTGAATATTTATAATAAAATAATTACTGTTCTACAACAAAGAATGTCTACTGTAACTGATAGTGATATGCATACAGGATGTCTATATAGACAAGCAGTAGTAATACAGAAGCTTGCATATTCAAGAATTTACAATACTTCACTAATAATAGAGAAGCTATAACAATATACAAAAAACCACTTTGATAGCTCTATGTCTCAGAGTTCAAGATCTTTGAGAAGGAGAATAATATTACAAACATAGATCTAGACCAACCAAGCATCAGATAATATGAGATGTTCAGAGATATTCACATAACTTCAACTCTGAACATATAAGAATGACATGATTTGCATGAATTATAGGAACCCCAGTGTTCAGTTTTCTAGTTAGAGAACTTCTATATTCTACACACAACTTTCTTCCATCAGTTGCAGGTATTGTACCTACTTAGATCTTTCATACTTCTAACTCTGGGAAAACCTACATGACCTATGACTGGTTCTCCTAACACTTATCATATAATGTCTGCTAGCTATTGTGCATCTGTGTTAATGCTAGCACTCTCCATATGTTCTGCTAAATCTATATTTATAAAGGTTGAATTGGAGTTTGAAGCTGAAGAGTTCTCTAAATCAATATTCATTATTCTATTAAGAGTTTTTTCTCTTTTGGCAACTTCAAAGGCTTCAAAGATTTCTAAAGAAGGGCTCAGAATCTCTCAAAGAATGTATAAGACTACTAATCATATGCAGAAGCTATAGGAACCACAGAATATAAACTTGATAGATCTGAGTGCTTCCTCTCCTCTCATTCCAAAAGAATTGTAGGATGAGAAGTGAGATGAAAACTCTGCATCAGATCAAAGAAGATCCGAGCCGCTAAGCTGGAGACTAACTACATAGAGACTAGTGTCTTGACACTTAGGCTTCTGCGGCGCCATGCTCCTTCACCTCACGGTTTGCTGGGAAAAAACGCTCGGTACCAAATTCAGAATATCTTGTCTTGCTCTACTCCGTAATCTACGGCGGATCCACTGGCATGCTTGCCCTCGTTCTCACGATTACCGGCGCGAGCTACCAATTCGGCAAGGCATGCCTGATCTCTCCATACAGGAGCAAGGAAACTTTTTGGATTCCACTGATAGCTGTGTCTTCGGCGGCTTTGCTGGTGACCGTGGTATATTGCCTCTATATGATATTGAAACCGCTCTACCAGGACTGGAAACAGGGCACGGTCAACCACGCAAGATCCGGTTCTTCGTTTGATACCAGCCGCAGACTAACCGCACGGGCCGCGTCGAGACGCGTTCAACGGATATTACAACTCCAATGGCGGGCAATAGCGGTCGTTTCCTTGATTCTGTTCCACGTCGCCCTCCTCAGTGCGATTTTTATACAGGTCGCTTATTTGTACGATGCTTCAGCTATGGACATGCTACCTTGACTTATTTGCTTGATCAACAAGAAAAGCCAACAGCAGTGCGTTAATCTTGCCGGAGGACTAGGCCCGGACCAAAGCTTCCTATTGGGATGTTTAATCCTGTTAATGGTGAGTAATGTCACAAGCTACGGGTCTGTACCTCATCTAACTGGCTCACAGATCTGCCCATTCTGGGACTTTGTCGTCCTTTTCCATCGCTCCATGCTCACGGCATGGGTCGATTTCCTCTGCGGCCGCAAAACCCCCGACAACGGCCCCGTGCCAATTGGCGGTGGCCTCTTTGGCGGCGGCGCTAGCAGCAGTAGTAGTCGCAAGCAAATCATCGAGCGCGATCACTCGCGAGTCTCGCGTCGATCATACGCCAGTCCGAGTCCAGTCGGCGACATGCCTCTTACCGTGCTGGAGAGCCAAAAGGTCGCAGGTTGGCAGTCTCCCATCCCTGAAAGGAGGTACGTCGCGCCTCAGAGAAGTTTCTCAGCACCCCGACGGCCTACATTCTCGAACGAAGACGATGATGACAAAGATTACTCGCACCATTACCCCATTTTCGGAACATATAGTTCTATCGCGTCGTCTCCGAAGAGCAGCAAGTGATTTTTTAATGTACATACCTGGTCCCGCACGTTCGTTTGGTCGTTCTTGTATATTGGATCGTATAACGTAGGGTTTGCGAATGGCGTTCGTTACCGACTGATTTCTTTGCTACTTTCCTTTGATATGATCTCGTTTGTTTTGCTAGGATACTTGGGACAGCAAGGTGTACATAGAGAGGAAATGCGTAGGAATCAATCGTTGGATCGTGAAGCAGGCATTTGATGGGCCTCATTATTCACAATGGTTCAGGATCACAACCTCCGTTAACACAGCATGAGGGTCCAACATCACTTGTGTTCCGTTTACAGGCATGGGGTTGGTCTATTTACTCCTCAGAGCTGCAAATGCTGGTTCCACCAAGTAGACGATCGCTTGCTCCAAGTCACCACATCTTGAATTCCAACCCTTGCGGCCTCCTTTTGAACATTTGTAAGCACAATCGGGCCTTGTGCCAGGATATTCTCGGCGATCGCCATGGCATCCAGGGCGTCCTGGGTCTTTTTGCCGACTGTCGGGCGCATGCCGCAGGTATTGATCTTGAGCGCAAGTAGATCAACTGCAGAAATGTATGGAAGGACCGCCGAATTGATTGTGCTGATTGGTTTTGCAGCTTCGGGAACATATGCGGACTGCGAAGAGGATGGTAAGCAGTTAGACAAGGGTTCAAGCAAAAACGCTCTTGGTCAACGTCCTTCTTACCTGCCACTCAGGGGTGAAGTCGATTTGAATGTTTTTGCCGCTTGGGTGTTTATAGACGAAGAGCTGGGCGTATTCTGCAAAGCGGGAGTTTGGCATTTGGAGAAGCTTGGTTTTCACAGCCTGGGGGGCACCAGAAACAGTGATTAGGAAATCGACGTCCTAGACAGGCGTTAGGCACCAGCATTGGACATGACGTCTAGGAGCTTAAGTTATTCCATACCTTGGTGGTCCTTCCGCTAGGGATGTACTTCCACAAGGCGGTTCCTCCGATGATAGCAAGTTTGGCACTGCCAAACTCAGGATACTGCTTCAGGGCATCAATCGCCGCTCTTGCAGTCTCCTCCAGCTCCTTGAGGGTGGGTAACGCTGTGTTGGTCGCCATCGCGGGTTTCGAGACTTGATATTTGGATGGGTATCCGTATAGTATATAGTATGTAGCAATGGATATTGGTGGTAGGGGTTTGGTGGTAAAAGGAGATAGGAGGAAGTCCAGAATCGCAAGCATACATCTTAGATATATATATACACATAATTCTGGGGAGTAGAATCTTCTACACTAAGTTGGGAGGTATGGCAACTCCGGCGCGTAGGTAAACGCCCTGGTCTGCCACAAAATGGGGCTGAATGTGCATCACGACGCGCCCAGGGCGGATGCCCATGGAGCTTGTTGGCTCTCATGGGAGAACCTGGACCTATCGTGTGCATAACAAGAGCAGACAATGTAGGTGAAAGGGTTTCATCTGGGTGGTTGATCGATAGACGAGACGAGGACGAGACTGCGAGGAGGTACATGTGGCCTAGGCCTAGGCCTTCTAAAATCAGCCGTACTAGGACATGGAGAAGAAGTACTAGTTACACGGGGTAGGTGCTAAACATAGTCGCAGGCCTCCTGGAGTAGGATCACAATTGCCCAGAGTTGCACGCAACCAACATCTGTTCTTTTTCGTCCTTTTCCCAGTGCCTCTGGGGCCTGGCTTGGCACTTGAAGTCTTGCCTTTGATAGGCCTACCTCCTCCCTCCCTGGGCGCTGTCCAAACAAACATCATCACAGCAACCATCGCACCCAGGACACGACATCGACCACATCTTCTTTCTGCCCTTTCTTCTCTTGTTCCTTTGGCAAACTACCTACGAGTACTGCCGACCCTTTGGTTTGTTCAACCATGCCACATTTAGTAGCAGCCAACGCTGCACAGCCTGAAAACCAAATCCGCTCTCTCCCACTTGGCGAGCCCATGATCCATGCTGTTTCGCGTCTCCTGGATTCCAGCGGAGTCCCAAACGTTCTATGGGGAAACTACCTTCTCACTGTCTATGGAATCCCGTCGCTGAGCAATGTATGTGATGGGTGGCCTGCCGCAACTTCGCGGGGGAATCGTGGGACTGACATTCTGCAGGATGCTTCGTTTGCAGTACCCGACGACATGATACCCCGAGCGCGAAAGGTCCTCAACAGCGCTGCTGGCTTAGTCTCCTGCACGGACCAGAACTGTATCGTTGTTACAGTTCGATCTCGTCCCCCTCCTATCAACCATTTCCACTTGGACACAGAAGACACGCATATCTATCTATACCCGCTGTCCGAAGTGCTTCCAAACATTCCCAGTATCCCAGATGCCGGCGACAAAATCATCTCCGCGTCTGACCTTGGTTGCCTTCCTGAGCCGATAATAGGCTACGGCAAGGGTGCGTTTGCTCCAGAGTACAGCTCCGTGCGTGTGCCTTCAATTTCCTGCTTCCTGGAAGCCTGCCTCGTCAACTACGCACGCCTTGCTCGAGGTATTGAGGACAATCCAGGATGCTGCCATGACCTCCACTACATGAGCTGGGCATCGTATCTCGTACAATACGTCCATCCACGCGGGTACCTCAACCTTGACTCGCTTCAGCCGGTGTTCAGAGACTTTATGGTTAATGGTTTTTTGGAAAATAGTACTGCTGCATTTGTGGCAGCGAGGGAGAAACTCATTGCTTCTGTCTAATTTGAGTGGCTTCAAGGATTTTTTTTATTTTATCTGTTGGTGCATGGAGAGCCATGCTAATAATGAACGTAACGTATTATTGCATCTATGTGTACTCCGTATACGGCTCACTATACTACGGAGGACCAGTATCGTTTGATGGACCATCATACAGCGCAAGTGTGCTGAATAGCACTAGCAATAGGAACCTAAATTTATAGAGCGTATTTGTGCAAAAGATGCTACCCCAATGGTTTTGGTGTCGTAGTAGTAGAAGTACTATGGGGTTGCTCCGGGTCGGGAGGCAGAGTTGTTTTTTAGCCGCCAACATCTACCAACAACTCAGCACCACAACACACCACAACCCAACATCAGAAATCAAGATCAGTGATTAAATCTCGATTTGAAAGGCCCAGTACCTCTAGCCATGGCATCCTTCCAAATCCTCTCCGATCTCCATCTCGAGTCTCCTTCCACTTACGACATCTTCGACGTTCCTCCCAAAGCACCCCATCTCGCGCTCCTGGGAGACATCGGTAATGTGCGCGACAAGGGCTTCTTCCCGTTTATCGAAGCACAGCTACGTAATTTCCGCACCGTCTTTTTCTTAATGGGCAACCATGAACCGTACCACTGCAGCTGGGACGAAGCCAGGCGCAAAATCAACGCGTTTGAACGCGAAACTCGCGAAAAAGCAAATCTAGATCCAACTTCGGGCCTAGGAATATTCGTCTTTCTAGACCGCACGCGCTACGATATGCCCAATAATATCACGGTTCTTGGATGCACACTCTACTCGCACGTTCCCCCCGAGCACAAAGAGAGAGTGAGCTTCGGCCTCAACGACTTTTACTTGATCGACGACTGGGCCGTCGAAGGCCACAATGCCACTCACGCCGCGGACCTGACGTGGCTGAATGAGCAGGTTGCTGCTATATCTGCGTCCGAGCCGCAGAGGAAGATTGTCATATTTACACATCATAGTCCAATTATGCGGGATGAGAGGGCTGTCGATCCAGCGCATATCGGAAGTGCGATTAGTTCCGGGTTTGCGACAGATTTGAGTAGGGAGGAGTGTTGGAAGAATCCGAGCGTGCGATTATGGGCGTTGGGACACACGCATTTCAATTTTGATTTTGTGGTGGATGCAGGGGAAGGGCCGGGGAAGCGAGTGGTGAGCAACCAGCGGGGATACTACTTTAAGCAAGCTGGAGGGTTCGATGTTGACAAGGTTGTGAGTGTTTAACTGTTTTCTTAGGCTGTGCGAGGATAGCATAAATGGCTTTTTTCGCGCCTCTATTCTCTATTTCTATCCTAGTAGGTGCTATGCAGACCGGTTGATTCTAGGAAAGTCCTGAGTCTTGCATTACCAACTTGTCCTTTGGAGGAGCTTCAGGCGGTAAAGTCTGGATATTGAGTTAAACAATCCCAAGTGTAAAGCATTCTGCTCCCTCTTTGGTATTGAGAATGGTTGAGACCCTAATAGGCTCCAAGCTACCTTCTTCATACTCAGTAGTGTTTAAAATTGTATTATTCCGTGTAGAAATACCTACATGAGGAGGGCTTTCTTTTCCTCTCCACCACCACCGCCGAGGGCCTTCAGCTCCTGCACGGTGGCGGTGAGACGAGTGAAAACTAACGGTCGAAATCAGCAGTCAAAATTGATGGTCAACACTCGCAGCTAATGGTTTGCAGTCTCATGCTTCAGAGAAACGACATTCTGGTCAATATTAGCACTAGCTGTTGTTGAACTTGGTGGCCAACATTGGTGGTTAGGATTGATCATGGAGAGCCAGCATCACCACAAGCATCCCCAATCAAACATGTTCATATGCTCTGCTGTGCTGTGTTCAGAGACTACTGAGCTTCCACAGTATCTCAAGCTCTGGGCTGGGAAAAGAAACTAAGCATCAGTATGTCATGACATATCATGCATATCTCTGAGTGAGGGGATCCTCCTCCTTGGACAGATCTCATAGGACCTATGAGGCTACTAACCATATGCAGAAGCTATAGGAACCACGGAACATGAACTCAATAGATGTGCGTGCTCTCACTCCTCTCATCTCAAAAAGGATTGTGGGATGAGAAGCAAGATAAAAACTCTGTATCAGATCAAAGAAGATCCAAGCCGCTAAGCTGGAGACTAACTACATAGAGACTAGTGTCTTGACACTGCCCCCTAGGCTCCAGCAAGTGCTGGGAGAAAAGAAATTTCTAAATACATAAATCCAATATATCCAGGATTCAAGCTGATTCAATAACCAAATGAGTGGAATATTTCTTAGTAAATAGTAAGCAGAAGTCTAAAATTGAAGATTGAGCTTCAAATTTATTGCTGGTGTAATGTTGTTGTGAGTTATGCCACTTCTGCCAGTGTTTGTGTCATTCTAATCAAGCTTTGAATGTGAATGTAGAATCCATATTGTTGAGATTCAACATCTGTAAGAATTCTTTAAATTTTTATTTTTCAAGTGGCATTGTCAGACTGTCTGCTGGATTCTCTGTTTCTGATATATGGTAGAGCTTCATCTTTTTCTCTTTAAGAAGCTTCTTTATGAAGAACCAATGTGTATTCATTTATCTGGTGGCTGATGTATATGTTAGCTTGTAAGCTACATTGGCAAATCCCTATACAGAATATAAAGTAACTAGTTACCTAACTGGCTAACTAGTTACAGAGTAACTCAGTTAACTAACTTATTAGTTAGTCAGTCATGTGACTTATAATATCTCTCAACCTCTTACAGTAGCTTTACAGGCTCTAGTTCATGTTTTGCATTCTGGAACTTGATGAGTTACATGGTTTTTTTTTTAATTATTTATTACATGTGATTCAATTTGAGAATCTGTTATTTACTAAGTAATTTTCTCAAGTAATACTAATAATAGTTCTCAGGAATACATCCTCCAGGCAAAGCTATATGGCTAGCATCAGATTACTGAAAGTCAAAGATTGAAAAGTGTCAGTAATTAAACATAAACTGAAAATTAACTGTAACACATATCAATTACTATATTACTTTATTGAACAAGAGATGCATCTACAACAGATATTCAGAAAGAAGCTTAGCATACAGAAGAATAAGAAGAAACTACTTAATATTATTTAGTAAATAATTATTTAATATAATTCTATCTTTCATAATTATCTGACTTTTCAGATACAATGTTATCTAACAGCAATAGCTCAGAAATGCAACAATAATTAAAAGAACTACTTATTCAGAGAAGAGCTTGTATATCTAAATTTAATTACTTTATCAGACAGTAATTATTCTCAGTCTAACTCTGTTTCTTCTAATATCAATATTAGAGAGATTGTTGGAGTATATAAACAGACTTGAAAATAATAGTTTCTGAATACTACTGCAAAGCTTTAATGTATGATTCTTACTGAATAGAATAATAGCAGTAACAGAATAGATGATACTTTACTTGAATCAACAAATATAGTTATTTAACACATCTTTCAATTTACTGTATAATATGTGTGAACAACAACAGATTGAAGAGAATTAACTTATGAAATATCTTGCATCAATTATTAATGTAGAGAAGAATTCTCAGTACCAGAATGCTGAAATAAAAAAGAAGAATTATTAAGAAAATTGAAGTTTCTAAAATACTAGTTCAGTATTTAGCAACTAGACTAGCAATCTTTTTGGTAATGATTATCAATCATAAGCTATTTCAAAGCTAGAACTCCTGTATATCTGCTCTATAATATAAACTCAAAAAGTCAGTCAAATAGTTATTCTATTAGAAGTGAACATACACACCTAACCATCACTTTTATTAGAAAGCAATTCTTCAATTCTGTTTAAATTAGTTAGAAAAAGCTGAAAGCAGCATCATTTTAAGTAATATATTTGTTTGAGAGCTGTTCAGAACAAATACTCTCTACAGATTTCCAGCAGCTTATTGTCCAGCAGCTTAAAGTACCAAATTTAAATATCTTTCCAGTCAAGACTGAGCTCATTTTGAAATAGTGTTCTTAATTATTAAAAGAAGACACATAAAATCAGAGCTGAGTCATTTGTTATACTTGTTTATTTCTTTGACATGCTCTTACAGTTGCTGACAAGATCTTCCATACTATAAATTATAGTGCCTCTCTGTTTTAAATGTTAAATAACTATATTTGTTGATTTAAGTAAAGTATCATCTATTCTGTTACTGCTATTATTCTATTCAGTAAGAATCATACATTAAAGCTTTGCAGTAGTATTCAGAAACTATTATTTTCAAGTCAGTTTATATACTCCAACAATCTCTCTAATATTGATATTAAAAGAAACAGAGTTAGACTGAGAATAATTACTGTCTGATAAAGTAATTAAATTTAGATATACAAGCTCTTCTCTGAATAAGTAGTTCTTTTGATTATTGTTGCATTTCTGAGCTACTGCTATTAGATAACATTGTATCTGAAAAGTCAGATAATTATGAAAGATAGAATTATATTAAATAATTATTTACTAAATAATATTAAGTAGTTTCTTCTTATTCTTCTGTATGCTAAGCTTCTTTCTGAATATCTGTTGTAGGTGCATCTCTTGTTCAACAGAGTAATATAGTAATTAATATGTGTTACAGTTAATTTTCAGTTCATATTTAATTACTGACACTTTTCAATCTTTGACTTTCAGTAATCTGATGCTAGCTATATAGCTTTGTTTGGAGGATGTATTCCTGAGAACTATTATTAGTATTACTTGAGAAAATTACTTAGTAAATAACAGATTCTCAAATTGAATCACATGTAATAAATAATTAAAAAAAAAACCATGCAACTCATCAAGTTCCAGAATGCAAAACATGAACTAGGGTCTGTAAAGCTACTGTAAGAGGTTGAGAGATATTATGAGTCACATGACTGACTAACTAACAAGTTAGTTAACTGAGTTACTCTGTAACTAGTTAGCCAGTTAGGTAACTAGTTACTTTATATTCTGTACAGCCATGGAAAATGCTTTAATCTTCACCAATATAGTTACAGAGTACAGACAACAGAGCCTCAAAGTCATGTTAAGATATATATCTAGCTGTACAGCAAGAGTCTCACAGACATGCACATCTATTATACAGCTAGATATTATAGTTATTCAACTGACTATATAATCATCATAAAGATGTTCTACCTCATCTCTAGCATAAATAATTCATTGCAATATTATTAAGTAGAGCAGTAAAAAGAATGTATCCAACAATTTACTGAAACTTTTCAGTTGCTGATAAGTATTCTTGAATATTTTAATTACTTAGTTAATTCTTTCTCAGATTCTCTATCAGATTTTGCTTTTCTATTTACTATCTCTTGTTGAAGTTTAGAGGAAAACTTATTTACTAGTGCTGTACTGGTCTTCATAAAATTCAGATTATATAGACTTGTATACTGGTCTCAGTTAATATAGTTATTTACATGAAAAAGTTTTTTGTCTCTATACAAAGACTCATCTTCTGTTGCTGGAACAACATATGCACTACAGATAATATTCTTTATAAAGTAGATTCATTATTTATCAAGATTGCAGCTTTTTGATAGAGACTTTTAAGATATTACAGATAATTTTATCTCAATCATGCCATGAATCTTATACAGAATTTCAATATAGATCTGCAACATATTAATAAATGCACTACTGTACATTGCAGGTTACAAAGATAATATATTACTCTTTTGGCTTTTCATATATTCTATTTATTCATAATCAAGAACTGTTATCACAACCACAAGCTGGCCAACCATCTTACTATTAAATATGAACCTACTTGCTCAGAATAGTTCATGCACTTGAACTCAAATATAGTTCTGCCACCAGAAATTTGTTTTTCCTATTTATACTAGTAAGCAACACACAATTTTCTTAATCAATCTTTCTAAGTTTGAGCTATTCTTTCCATCCAGTTTCCAAGTTGTGATAGATTAGTAAATTTGAAGGCAGTATGTCTTGATCAAATCTGATTAAGACTCTTATTTATTGCTGAAAGCACAAGTTTCTTCAGATTTTGTAATATTTAATTGCTTTCACATTTCCTGAACAAATACAGCAAGTGCCTCAAGAAAGTCATCTTATTTCACAATGCTTGTCTAGTCTTGAATTCTAAACTGTATTCAGCTTTGGCATCAATTTTTGTCAATTTTTGCTGTTAATTTTCACCATCAATTTTGGTTGTTAATTTTTGACTGTCAATTTTTGCTGTTATCAATTTTGACTGTCAATTTTTACCATTGTCAATTTTTACTGTTAATTTTGACCATTGTCAATTTTTACTGTCAATTTTCATTGTCAATTTTGGCGTCATCAATTTTGGCTGTCATCAATTTTGACTGTCAATTTTG